TATACTATATGGAAGAATGCCAATTTTATAAGATGATGTGCCACGTAGTCATGGCCTGTTAGCAGTCTGAAGTTTGTCACAGCCACTTTACGGAGTTTTTGACAAAACTTAGAACAAATATAATATTGATCTTGTAAGATTCCTGCCTTAAATGCCTTAAGTTAAAGCTGAATATGAGGAACCTTAACCTTTTAACTGTCAAGTTATTTTGATGATTTGGGTGCATAAATTGTCAATTTTTTTATTTCAAAAATGAAAGTTTGCCTCGCATAAAAAAAAAAAAAAAAAAAAAAAAAGCTGCGCACTTTGAACTTTAACCTCTATCCTTTGAAACCTTCAATAAAGTCCTGCCATCTGTTGAACTGAAGCCGAAATAAACTTCTCACGATATACGTATATTCGGGTATAATAATACGATGCACTCAAAAAAAATTAGCCCAAGTAATGTTCGGGCTTGACATTTTGGAATAGCAGTGCTGTGGCCAAGGTTATTTCGGGCATGACAGTTAAAAGGTCAAGAAGTGGTAAACGAATAATCGCTTAGTTCAGTGAACAGACAGCAGAACTCAAGGGTTAAATACCCTTTATAATTCAGAATAAATTTAACAGACGACTCCTTCTTGGAATTTACAATAAAGCCTCCACTCGGGCTTGAACTCAAGAATACTAAGAAGTAAACTAAAAAGATATAGCCAAAGCCTATCAAGAATTGTAACAGAGCTGGCCCCTTAACACTAACTAACAGCGAAGCTATCAAGGGCCTAAAGTATGGCCGAGAGTAATAACAGCTTAAAAGAGAGAGTAGTTTAAAAGGCTAATGCACGCTGCTCAGAATATCTAGCTGTTTAACGAAGTCAGTAGAACTTCTAGTTTAAATACTTGTTCTTCTCATTTGCATTTGACCGCTATTCTGAAAATACGTTCTGGCCGGAAGTTGCAAGCCGAAATTAAGAATGGACAGGAAAGTAACTTTAACTAAAATTTAACTGCCAGAAAACGTAGGATAAACCTTACAATCCATTGCCATGATACACATACAACTGTTTCTCCCGAACTTTTTGCTTCGATTCTTTCTTACAAATCAGTACTCAGTCAATAATAATTGATGGTAGACGTTTTAAATAGCTAATGTTTGTTTGTCAATAGCTAATGTTGAGTTTCTTTCTCAGTTTCACTTATGACTAAAAACGGTTAAAAAAATCTGAAAGTTTTCAGATTTTATATTACACCTAAAGAACTTTTTTGAACGTTTTGTGCGTTACCTTTATTTATTAAATATCCTGTTCTTCCACCTAAACCATAAAATTCAATTCAACAGCAATATTGAAAAATTATTTAAAAACAGCATATTTTCAGAATTTCGGATACACAGTCTCGCGTGCTAGAGATAAAAATCTTTTCTTTCGTAGACTGTTGCTATTACTCCTTTTGAAATCATTGAGTTTCTTTCTCATAAATAATTTCTTTCTTTATCATGAAAACTCATAAATGCTTTACAAAATCTGAAATAAATAATAAAACAAATTCCAAATTTGGGCTACCAGATGCTCATACTCGGGTGAAGACATATGTTATTCAAAATTTGACAGCTCTACAGGGTGTTCAGGATAAATTTGACATATTTATAATTGATTACATTTTTCTGTAGGTTGGAGGTATTGACACACATTACTTGTCATTTAAAAGTTTGGACCCTTCTTCATTCATATACAAGATGTCAGAAAGGATGGATGACTGGAACTCACCTGAATCATGGAAGAAAATAACTTGCATCATGATGATTTGTGCTGGCCATCAAAATAAGAATATTATGACTGCTGCCCAATGCTCCCTGGACACAGTAAAAACAATCAGGCATGAACTAGAGACTTGCAATGGTGACTATGAGGATGTTCGGGAGACTTGCAATGGTGACTACGAGGATGTAGCAAGAAGAAAAATCCCTAGCAGACGATCTGATTGCGTTCGTACAGCAGAATTCCTCGCAAATCTGCAGGAACAGGTGTTGAAGAACCCTGGCATTGGAATTCGGGCTTTGTCACGTGAAATTAATGTTGCAGCCTCTACTATGAAGCTTACACTCAATGAAGACTTTCGCTACTACTCATACAAGCGGATTTTCTTTTTTCTTACGAAACTCTCGAATTTATCCTGAACACCCGTACCGTTGTTTCATCACAATGCGAGAAACATACATACATTTATGCAGATTTCTCATTATTTAATTTCCGTAATATAATACAGGGCGATAATATTTGGTGGCAACAATTTAAAAGGTGAAATGCGATAAAATGCCAAAACAAAATTAACACATTAAAGGTGGGGGATCTTAACGAAAATATGCTAGGTAACGCGGCGACCACCCCGCCTCATTTTCCGCTCTAGAGTGGCAATATTTTGTGTAATCATAAAAAAATTTAGACTTAAAAAAGTTTATTTAAACTCTTAAAACTACAAGAAATATTAAAAAAACACTAAACACTAATTACAAAAAATGTTTTAAAGTACATATTTATGGGAAGAATCTAGTATTTTTTATGAGTGTGATAATGTTGATAACACGGTGAAGAGGTGCATTGTAAAACTCGCATTTGAAGCAAGTCATCTTTCTTTTTTTATGTGCCGCACAAACTACGCAGTTTCGTTGGGCATATAGCTTTTTGCCTTTATTTTCTATCCGAATTAATTTGTGCTTTTTGATGTCTAGCGAAAGATGTCCAGGCGGATCAATTTTATATCGTGGAGTCCGTGGTGCCAAGTTCGAAGTACCAGGTTGTGGCTCTTCAATGTCCATCAATTCCAGATCTTTGGTTTTTTTGTCAGTTATAAGAAAGCGTGATAATTCTAACAAATATTTTTTATGTGTCAAGCTACTATTATTATGCATGTCATATACTAAATAGGAATTGAAATATGCACAAATGGAGAGAGACTGTAAGTAGAATTTGAAAAACCGAACAGCTTCAAACCACAAAACATACTAAATACAAATGTAAAGTGGCACATGGATTGCGCAATGTGGTTGCAAACTGTACTAATACAACTCCAGCCTTTAAGCTACAGTCGAGATAAATCGTATTACTACGACTCCCGCCTTTAAGCTACAGTCGAGATAAATCGTAGTACTACAACTCCTGCCTTTAAGCTACAGTCGAGATAAATTGTAGTACTATGACACCCGCCTTTAATGTGTAAGTAGCCCTTCTGGGCTAATAACAAAAAGTTTTCAAAGTAATCGTATTTCATTGATGTAGCTTTCTTGTAAATTAAACATCATCGATAACCACAAATACATCTTTCTCATAAATTAATGTTTCCCTATTAATCTGCATTTCTTTTCAAAATCTGAAAACGATAACAACATTCAATAGTTAATTTGTTCACAATTTCCTATCCAAAATGAAAAGATGGAACTAATATCACAAACTTTTCTGCTTTTTCATTTTCATCAGGAAGCTTTATAAATTGTTCTCATGTCAATCAGAATCTGGTGCATTGTTCTAATGCAGGTATTTTGACACAAAATTGAACTTTTTCTAATATGACATGCCAATTTTTTTTTTCCATATTTCATTTCTACAACTCAAATTATACCAAACTGCCAAGTTTTGTAAAAAAAATTGCACGAGTAGTTTTTAAAAAATTAGCTCTCGAAATTTTACCTCCTCAATGTTTATTGAATCTAATATTTATTAATATCTCTTTTTTTATTAAACTTACTTTATTCCTTCTTCCAGAATTCAAAATTTAAGCTTAATCCAAATATAATTTGCACATTTTTAATTATATAATTATTAAAATTTGTATTTTTAAATATTTTTTGAAAACATTGTGTACTGTAACGAAAAGGAAAATGAGTTCCTATAAATTAAGTTTGCCAAGTAAATTATTTGCGAAAACTGAAAAAATATGGCAAAATAAATTTTTGAATTTGTGTAAATTTCCCACCAAAATTTAATATTCAGGCATAATTTGAGTCATAGAATCAAAATGTGGAAAATAATTGTCATGTCATTTCAGAAAAAGACCGATTTTGTGTCAACATACCTATATTAGAATGATGCTATATATAAATCTAATATATATCATAAGTCGTGCTTTCAAGACATGAAAAACACAATTTGAATTCTGTCAATTGGCCCAGAATATGAGATACAGAACTGCCTTTTTGAGGGGGGGTGCAGTGTACATGCTGTGAAGTATATTTTTCAGACACCAAGCTTATTTAATTGCATAAAAATTTTAAAACATTTTATACATAATATTTTAGAACTGTCTCAAAAAAATAAGAGGGGTGATGTTAACACCCAAAATGAACAATATTTACAATGGAGTTTTATGATGGGCCCATTCTCTCTCTCTCTCATAAGAGTGTTAGAAAAAAGTAACTTGCAAGTATGTTAAACAAGTCATCATTTCTCATTCTGCAGAAGAAGTGGCATATCTCCAGAACATTATTACCAAGCTTATGCCATAATAATATAGTACCAATCTCAACAGTAAAAGAGCTGGAAGTTTCTTATTTTTCCTAGGCAATGAGCATTATCATATGTACACAGTCAGCAAATTTTCAGCGACAAGCAGCAGCATCAGAGTTGCAGTTACTGATCGAAGTTTCACAGAAAACCAGCCAAAGCAATATCCTCAATCATCTTTCAGATTATTATCATTATGATATTTCAAACAACTTACTGAAGGCATACAATAATTAGACATAATTATCTTTTCTCACTGTTCAAAGTTCAACTTGAACATTTAACTTTATGCTCTTCTAACACTCTGGAAGGAATGTGGCACTAGATTCTATAGTAATATAATTTATTTTGATGGGTTCCATCACTCCTCTTATTTTGCTCACACAGTTTATGAACACCTTGTATATATTTTCCGCTCACAGTATTTAACCGAAATATTTTCACTTATGATGATCGCCCAAACTATCGATTCAAGTTGACAAAAATAATATAGTATCTTCAAAATAAAGGCAATTGAAAATAATATAGAACAATTGAATGAAAAATTTTATTCAACTATATTTCTGCCTGTTTAGGAACACAAAAATACATTGACAAAATTCACTGGGATTATAAAAAAGCTCTTACATAAAAGCACACATTCCTTGAGTAAGGAACATTTCCCCGTGTTTTCGAAGACAGAGCTTCTAACAGTGCTAATAATAAAATCCTATATATTTATACTCTATCATTTCAAAACTATACAATATTGCTATTTTTGAATATAAAAAGAAAAGTTTTTAAAATACTGAAGATAAATCACAAACACACAGTAGCAGGATTTATACATGAACAAAATGCATAATCTGGCTCTATACACAAAGCTAAAACTTGAGATTTAATTATGAATATAATAGCTTTTATATATATTTGTGTGTATATATTTATATATATATATATATGTACACAGTCAGCCTATATGCAAAGATTTACATTTATCACGTTGCAATGACAGGATGTATTCCAGATACAGTTGCCTAAAAAATAGAAAATCCAAACCCTTAAAATATATGCACAGTCTTCAGCGTGCTAACTGAGCTATCAATGAAGCACACATTTCAAAAAATTCCATTATATTGTAAGACTGTTGGCAGCAGGATGAAATCGATTCAGATGAACCTGGTCAAAAAATAACACAAATTAAAATCATTCTATTATACAATAATTTCGAAATAACAATTTTAATTTTATTCAAGAACAAAAATGCAAATACTATATCAAAAATATTTTCTTATCTGATCATAAGCAACAGCCTGTTAGGCGTAGATTTTTAGCATAGAAACTGTATCAATTTCGAGGGCGAACAAAGTCCCTTTTCATCAGGAGCAAAGAAATCTGCAACAGAAAAACGAAGTTACAAACATATGTATGCCCTAGAGAAGTCGAGAGAGTAGCACCACCTGTTAATAGAAATAATAACTAAAATTGAAAAATTAGGATAACAGAGATTAAAAAGCGTTAGGTAGGATTAGATTAAAATCATTAACTAAACATGCTAAATTTTTGTGAATGTGAAAAGCTTCAAAAAATGTAATTCTCCAGTGGAAGAAGCTGGATAATTTTTGCAGACATGAAATTGTAATTAAATTTCCTACTATGAAAGCTTCTTCCACTGGCGAATCACACAAAAATTTACCATGTTTAGTTAACGATTTTAATCCAATCCTATCTAACGCTTTTAGATCTCTATTATACTAATTTTTCAATTTTCATTATTATTTCTACTAACAGATGGAGCTATTCTCTGGACCTTCCTAGGGTATAAATACGTTCATAACTTTGTTTTTCTGTTGCGGATTTCTTTGCTCCCGATGAAGAGGGACTTTGTTCGCCCTCGAAATCGATGCAGTTTCTATGCTAAAAATCTATGCCTAACACAGGTTGTGCTTCACTTTTATGATTTATTTGATCTATGTTTCTCTTCCATTTGGATTTTCTTATCTGCTAATCAGATATACCTTTCATAAAACAGAAAAATTACAGATTTTTGCAATAATTTGGTAGCAATTGTTTTCTTACAGTTGTTAGACAATTCATGTATATAGTAGCCCACGATTTTCATTTTCAATATTTTTTCAATTGCGTACTTTCAATATCAGTATAATTACATAAAAATATACAATAAAAATATAACAGTTATCAAATGTGGAATATCAAACATGGAAACCCATAGAATGTGGGTTTTCAACAAGGAATTTATTATTTATTAAAAAATTATAATACGTACACTACCATGTAAAGCATATAAGACTAACACTTGACCAAAGTATTGAGATTGCATTGATCATAACACATCTGAGTTTTAACCTCAAAAATACACTCACGTTTGTGAAAATTGCAAACACCAAGAAGGAATCGTCATAATTGAATGCAATTTAATACACAGTTGAGTGGTAGTGGTACAAATAAATGATTAAATGTTCAAAGCAAACAAACAAGAACAAGAGATCAGAATCAGTATTTTGTGTGGCCACCACGCGCCGCAATAAGTGCTGCTACACGACGTGGCATGGAGTCAAACAAAGTTTGAATGTCTGACTGAGGAAGAGCATTCCATATCGTTTGTACGCATACCCAAAGTTCGTCTGCAGACGCAACAGGACGAGGATCACGAGCAAGACGCCGACCAATGACATCCCACACATGTTCAATTGGCGACATATCTGGGGAACACGCAGGCCAAGGAAGAAGCTGTACCTGCTGCGCTGCACAGAAGGATTTAACAATCCGAGCAGTATGAGGGCGGGCATTGTCCTGTTGAAATACAGCGCCTGGCAAGCTTTGAAGGAAGGGAACAGCTTCGGGCTGTAGAACTTCACGGATATACCGGTTGCTGTTCAGATTGCCCACAATTCCTAGCAATTGAGATCGTCTATGATATGCTATGGCGCCCCAGACCATAACTCCGGGTGTTCGTCCACTGTGGCGTTCGATAATGCACTCCGGAAGGTGGCGTTCACCGGCATAGCGTCTGACACGAATGCGGCCATCATGGTACCACAAATTAAAGGGGGATTCGCCAGAAAACACGACATGCTGCCAATCAGCACGCTAGTCTCTATGCTGATTGGCCCATTGTAGCCGCAGGCGGCGATGGTCGTGCGTTAAGGGGATCCTGTATAAAGGAGTCCGTGCGCGCAGTCCACACTGCAGCAGACGTCTACGAATTGATGAAGCACACAATGAAACACCTGTAGCTATTGACCACAGTGCTGCCAATTGTCTAGAGGAAGCTGTACGGTCCGTCCGCGCCATGCGGACCAGGTGTCTATCATCGCGAGCTGACGTCACATTTCGGGGTCCACTCCCGGATTTCCGAGTTGTCCAACACTCGTCCGTCCACTGCTTTCCAAACGCGCATCACTGTGCTGCTGTTACGCTGCACACGAGAGAGGCTACTGCACGATACGACAATCCAGCTTCACGAAGGCCGATGATTCTCCCTCGTTCAAACTCTGTAAGTTGTTCAAATCTTGCTCTCTTTCGTCGACGAGGCATAAGTACAGATTGAGTTAACGTTTACCACTAGCAGATAAACCACCGATAACCATACCACGCCTCGCTACAGCCGTCTATTTATTCGGATCCATCAGCCGTTCAGAGGGCGCTGCTCAGCATACGCATGATGCGCTAACGGATTTGCAATTCTAATCATTTGCATATCATGCGCTACTTTGCATTTCCTGAAAATTTCAGCTCACTCGCGTAAGTCCTTCATGGTGTTGCAATTTTCACAAACGTGAGTGTATTTACAGCAGTCAATTTTCTGATGCACTACTGTATCAAATATGACCGACACGGTAGGAACTGAGGTATCCATCATTTAGTACAATTATTAATCAGAGAAATAATTAAATTGCTCCATATATGCACATATTTTAGGGGGGAACTGAGTCATGAAAATGAGACATTCAAGTTTTCTAAATGCATAATTTTTAGAGTTTGTTATTCCCCTACATGCAGGAGGGGTTGGGAAGAAAAAAGAATATATTTCTAACAAAATTCTAAATTAATTTTTTCCCTCTTAGGTGCACATTTTAATTTTACATCCAATAATGAAAGTTCAGGAATTCAAAATTAATTATTTAATTTTCTTAAATTAGAGATCCAACTCCATGTCTCAAGAGTCAACATCCCCCCCTCCCACAAAAAAAATGCAGAATGTTTATGAGCTAAAGCTAAGAAGAAAATGTACAAGCAAAAATACAAACACAAGATCCAGTTAAGAAAAAGAGTAAGTATAAGATCCAAGATAGGAACAAATACAGAAATTCAAAAAGTTCATTTAGTAATGCCGTGTTTCTCAATGCTGGATATAAAGCATAATACCACACAAAGCACTGAGAAGGCATATGAAAGTCATTTAAAAGTACCAGAGGGCACAAAAGGCTAGAGCTAACGCCAAACAAAAAGATGGGCAAAAAGGTAGTTGTATGGCAGTGATATGAAAAGTAACAATTCCTTAGCTCTGGTCTGGTTAGACAGGTTTGACCAACTCAAAATCCTCCCCTTTACAGATGTCTTATGTAACTATTCAACATAGACTGGTAAGTGACAAAGTTAGATCCAGATGTCATGATGCATACACACTTTTTTCTTAGGGCATCTTTGGTTTATCTCCTTAATACTTTTTCATAAACCCAAATGAAAATATATTATTGTGTTGAACCAGCTAATGATTTAGATATGCCCTTCTTGTTTCAAGGCAAAGACACAAAGAATGTAAGTTACAGAAACTGAGCTCATAGACGAAGCAGATATGCCCTTCTTGTTTCAAGGCGAAGACACAAAGAATGTAAGCTACAGAAACTGAGCTCATAGACGAAGCAGAACTGGAAGGCACTGCCAGGACATTTTCGATCTTTGTATTCAGGAACAATTAGAAAGTCATTCTCATAAGACATCAAGTAGCTATAATGCAATTGAGAGAATCAAAAACTTGATCAGCAGTCATTCATTCAGTTGGGTTCAAAATAAGTAGTTTCTTAATTATCAAATTTGCATTTTTAAATATCCTACCATCAGCAACGGGTACTGAAAAATCTGCAGCTTTTACTTTTCAAAATAACACTTGTACACAATCATAAAATGGGAACTGGCTATATAACATCGTGAAAAGAACAACTAAAGCTCACACATCACTAGGCTTTCCAAGGAATGGTTTACCACTAAGACCATCTGGACTAATATATGCAGAACTACCTTGTTGACCTTTAAGTAAATCATTTGCATTAAACAAATGCTTCCCAAGGCAGAAATTTGTAATTATATTTTTCGGGTTTGTCTGTCTAAAACTATATTTCCAAGTTTAAGGTCACGATGGACAATATTTGTTTATGCAGTGCATTTACAACACCCACAACATCATAAAATATTAATATTGCTTCTTTTTCTGACAACTTTTTCTTTCAGATAATAGTGCTGTAAGTTGATCAAAAAGTTTATTACTACAGTCATGAGCATAAATGTCCAAAACTAAACATACAATCCCCCCCAACCTGTAATACCTTAACTTCCATTAATTTCTTGCTCTTCAAAATATTCATCTGTAAATAATCTATGATGATGAATTACACCTTCTTGGTCATGGAGTAGAGACAGGAGTGAATACTCTGTATGCAGTAGCATTTTGCTTTGTCTATCATCATGAGTTTCATCTTTCAGAACTTGCAATGTTAAAAGCTTTATAGTGTCAAAATCATCAGTTCCAAATTTCCTCGCTAAACAGAACAATTCTACGAACAGGAGAATTACCAATTCTTTGGACCTAATAAATATGTCTCCTTTTTTCACAGTTTTAATGATTAACAACAGTTCCTGTAATATGATCTTGATCCACATGAGGAATATCAACATTAGATATCTTTGAATTCTTAGATGTGCTTGGTCTCTCATTGGCATTATCAATTGAGTTTAAGCAAATTCCTAATCAAACTATTGTAATAATGCAAGTCAACATCATGATACAAAATCTCTCAACTCTAAAGAATGTAAGTTATACCAAAATGAGCAGCTAAATTCAAGGTGTATTTTTCTCAATTCATATTAAACAACTTTCAGATTTAATAACTTAAAGCTACAGCCAGAACTTCGAGATAATAATTAAAAGTCAAACAGAAACTGAGCTTGATAGATATATACTGTTAAAAAATTTATAAAATACAATCAACAATTACAAACTGACTGTCTGCAAGCAATTTAAAAAACATCACTCATAAATGAAAGACAGGAAGCATTTCAACTTAATTTAAATTTAGACCAAGAATTTAAAATATCAGTTACAATTAAAAAGAGCGAGAGAAGGTAACTTACTCTGACTGTCATTTGATTCCTCATTGTTTGCGAGAGATTTAAAATCAAGTAAATAACTCTTGTAATCAACCTGATACAGCTGAAGTGTCATTTTTGTCTGGAAAGAGTAATAAAAATATAATACAAATAAGATAAAGGCACTAAAATACATTACTCATCTACTTTTAAAGACAATTTATTATTTTAAAAAATTACAAATTAAGCTAGTTTTACTTACATATTTTTTAGTAACAGGATTATGTCTTCTGACAATTATATGAAAAGGATTTGCAGTTTTCCATTCCTGTAATAAAGCAATTACTTTCTATGAAAATAAAATGCAAGTCAAGTACATAAAAGATTTCATGCTACAAATTTTCAGTTATTAAACTCTATTGTATATCAACAAGACATTCATCTCAGAAATAAACTGTTTATATAAAACAACAATTAAAAAGGTAATTCATTAAAAAATTGTTTCACAGAAACAAAAATGAAATCAATTTAAAAATTAACACTATTTCATTCTAACATGCTGCATATCAGACACATTGAAAAGTGCACAGTGATTTAAAAAACAAAGCTTACAGAAATTTTTAAGATAAGCATTGATAAATTTTAAGGGTTCCTGTAAATATCCTTAATGAAATAACAGTCTACCAAATAAAACCTTGTCAGTTATCCAAAATTACTTTTGGGGAGGTGGAGTGGGGAAGATATCATTAATGTATTTCCTACAGTTTTCTGCAGTTTTTATTGTTTACAGCCAGAAATTTTTAAAGAGAAGAACCAATGAATAGCTAAAATTTTTATACAAGTATATCAACTTATTTTTAGATATCAAATACACAAAATACTGTCTTCAAACAGTGTGCTCTATTTTAAACTGTATTTGAACATAAAGTTAATACAAAATGCAATAGTACAGAATTCTATTGTTATTATTCTTATTTCAATGATATGTGCTTATGAAAGCTAATACTTACAAAGTCTAGTGCTTTCATAGCTCTATATACTTCTGTCATTATATCAAATGGTTTACTTTGAGATCTAATACCTAATAAAAAAAAATAACTTTTAAACTAGAAAACTTCCATTTCATAATTATTTGAACAAAAATATTACATGCAAAATATCATAAACAAATAACTTATTACACTATTATCTTAATAATATAGACAATTATTATAATAAATAACACTCTGTAACATATTATTTTATAAAAATACAAATTTTACATCTTTCACAAGATTTAAATTTCCTAACTTCATGTATTACATATATGTCATCACAGCTTAATCCTTTGACTACTAAAGGGACTACTGTACATCCTACTAAAAGTTTAAAAAGCAGAAAGAGAGAATCAAAATTCATTCAGGAGAAGAAGAATCTCCAACAGTTGGAAAATTAATACGCCCCTGTGCTCGCTGTACACAAATTAACATAGAGAAAAAAACAAATATGAGTGGCCTAATGTATAATGTTGGGTTTTGTAAATAATGCTTTATCCTGTACCATACAATGTAAATCTATTTCACATAATAAAGTTTTCCAGAACAATAGATGTGTTTATAGTAAGTCAGTTGCTATGTGTGCGACAAATATATCCCACCATTAACTACATTTGGGACATATATGTCCTAGCCTTTGATTTGAAAACAATTTTTTAAAAAAAATCCCAAATGCTAAAAATTTACTTTATGGCATATTTTGTTCATTTGGATAGAAAACAAGGTAAACAATTTTTTTTTGGAAATTCAATTTAGTCAAAGGGTTAAACTGGGTTGACGGAAAGTTCTAGTACTTCTGAATTTTTAAGCTAAATTGTACTTCTAGTTAAGAGCGCATTGGAACCCTCAATGAAGAGGAACCACTATTCCAGCATATAAATTTTATTTTAGTACCAAATATGTCCTAAAAATATATTCCAACTCCAAAATGCATGCTTGTCTTTCCCTGGAGAACAAGTCCTTTGATGGAGGTTGAAACTTTAAAGAAAAGAAAAGTTCCCACAACGGCTTCTTCTTCAGAAAGTGCAATGAATTCATGAGAGTAGGTAAATTTTTCTTTCCTGAAAACACTAGAAGTGATCACCTTGGTCGTGCATACCCAAAACAGGCAACTTCTGGCAAAAAGCTCCTGCATATCTTTTGAATGCCATAACCAAATACGGGGAACAAAAACTTTCGCTCGTATACAGCCTCATGTTTACTCTAAGATTTTATCAGATCAGAATTGGAGGAAATTTTTTCCACTACATCCTGTTCGATGGTTAGAATTATAAAGGCAGGGCAATATGGTCAGAAAGTGTTCATTTTTTTAGAAAACACAGTCAGAAATAGTTAGTTGATGTTTACCCTCTTTGTTTTCGAGGTTACATTTCTTCAATAAAATTTCTCCCATACTCTCATATTGCATTCTCACTAGTGATGCTTTAATTGTTTTACCATTTTTCATTGGGCCACTAAAAAAAAAAAAAAAATTCCCTCTTGAAACAGTACATTACACAGTATGTTTCAAGAGAGGATTGTTAAGGCTGTATTAATTCAAAGTAGTCTACTAAATTCAAAATAGAGTCTGTATTAAATTATTTTAAAAATAGAGACTCGCAAAGCTACATCTTAATTTTTGAGCCATATTTTTTATTTGTCAGATTCTTTTCAAACCCTTTTCAAGTCGATTTTATCTTAACAGTAATCTGCAGGATTCATGAATAACCGAGCCATGTATGAAACTTGATTAACAATTTAAGACGAGCAATTCATGTTCCTGTCTTCATAGACCAGCATATTCCTTTCCACTAAACGTAATCAAACATTTACTGCACATAGCACAAGGGTCATTATGACTCAGATGTTTTAATTATTACATAAATCTAATGAATTTTAAAACATGGTTCATTATTTTGTTGAACATCAAAATTATACCAATCTTTGTGAAATAATTTCAATTCAATTTTTCCAAAATAATATTAAAAGCATAAAAGCACTATATTACACTTAGACATAATACTAAAATATAATATTTAAATATTTAATAAATTCACAAATAAACACATAGCAGTGATAAACTCAGATGAAGTCTGTAAACTTAATTACAATCCTTTTAAAATCAATCCTCAGCTAATTTATCAGCTTAACTCATCACCATTAAAGATTTCATGATAAAGGAATGCATTATATATGTATAATATAAGGTATATAAGGCATTATAATATATATAATATAATTATAGAATATAAGGCATTATAAATCTTATGGCATTGTTTGTAACAGAATTAAATTCAAGTCTTTTACTGGCTTGTAATGCGATATAGACAAAACTCTCATTTTATTTTATATTAACACTGTCATTTGGAAAACTCTCGGTTTCTAAATTAATTTGATTTTGATTTACAAAAATGATTTTTAATAGCACTTAAAGACCTTCAATTTTTATCTCGTTTCGTTTTTCCACCGGTGAAAGAACTTCGTACTGAAATTAACTGTGGTTGAGTCACAGAATACATAGCTAAATTTTACACTAACTGAAAATACATTTGTTGGTTGGTTTATACACTAAACTGTTTTTTTTTTTATTTATTTCATCCTGAAAATAATTGCTAGAAACTGTGATATTTTTTAATTTCTTCAAATCATGTAATAAGCTGGTAGCCTCACATTCGTTTTCAATTTTAAGAATTCAAGTAATTCTAAAATGTCAAATTCTGCATTTGATTTCTTTTCTTATTGTATTATAAAGATATGTCTTGTGGAATCAATTTCATTAAAATCAGACAGAATACATGACTGTAACTTTCCATAACTAAAATTTTCCAGGGATCGAATATTAGTTTCTATTTCATTGTATAATTTTCAAAGAGCTACAAAAGTGCTTCATTTGATCTAGGCTCAGTAGCTTCGTCATATGACTGGTAATCATGATGTTGTTTTAACAAAATGAGGCTTTTATTGTAGTTTTCGCTCATTAGAGTAAATCCTTTAATTGCATTCGGGACTATCCCTCTAACAAACTATAAGGTATGCAAATTTTTCAACGACAGATAAAGTTTCGTTTTTGTGAGTGGAACTTTTAAACTTTGTTCCAAAAATCAAGCTCCATGCTTACATCACCAAAAATTTGTTTATTATAATTTTCAGTAACTTAATGACATTTCTTATATGGATAGCATCTATTCATTAACCTCATTCAAATTCAAACTCATAACAGAGTCTGAATTTCCTGAAAGCTCTTTTTAATGGTTTAGAAGCCCTGCATTTTAATATTATTACCTTATTAATTCAAGTTCTTCTTCAATTACTAGTTTATTAATTTCACTATCCAACTGATTGTATAAATCGAGTGTAACTATTAACTGTTCAAAAAGTTCATTTAAAGAAACTAATAGAAGGTCTTGAATAGCATTTAAAATTTTTTTAAACAGTTTAGTTATTAGAGAATGTATTGCCACTCTTTTCTCTTTAAGAGATACTAATTCAAGCTCCATAATAAAAAAAATAATTCTCCCCTTCAAAATGAAAACTTAGTAAGAAGCAACTTCTTACTTCATGTCCCACATTCATGGCACCAAAAAATGTTATTCTCTTTAAATCTTTTCCAGAGAAGGTTCTATCTTAATAGTAATCTGCAGTATTCATGAATAACTGAGCTATAGACTAGAAGAGAAACACGGCCAGTGCAACTCTGATTAAAAATCTAGTTATAACCACGTGCAGTGCTGATAAGCACTACGTGTTTCTGTGACTCCTTCTCCTATTTTCTTCTTCCTATGTATTTCTTTCTCCTGATGAGGAGGGACCTTTAGCTGCCCTTGAAATCGATTGAGTGTTTCATTGTACCTACGCTAAATATAAGGTTGTTTTTTACGATTTTGATTAAACTGAGCTATGTATGAAGCTTGATCCACACACAACAATAAAACATTTATTTACGATGAGGAATTCATGTTCCTGCGTATTCTTTCCCACTAATAGAAACATAATCATTCTCTGCCCATAATGCTATTTATATAAAAATTCTCTAATTATTTAATCATTTATCATTAATTTAATAATTTATCAAATTTTTATTTCTCTTTACATTTTATTGAATTTTTATTTTAATATTTTAACTATTAGTTACGCTATTATTTATTTATGTTATTATATTATTTTATATATTTTCCCCCTCCTCTTTCATGGATTCTATAGGGCTCCAGCACTCCAAGTATTACAAATTAAGCCCTGAATGTGTTAAATTTAATCAGCCACATTCACATAATTACTTTGTTTTTTCTTCAACTTAATGGCAACTCAATATAAATTTTATGTGCATGGTAGCTTTATTTTTCTTAAAACTGCCATACAGTTAGGGGGACATATAAAAATGATATTTTTTACATGTTTTAAATTAAAACACAAAATTTAAATATTACATAAAATCAATAAATTGCAGAATTACAAAAACCATAACTTTTTTATGTGTTTTCATACATAAATAATTTACAGCAGAATTAGTTAAAAAAATAATAATAAGGGGGAAAAGTTTGATCAACAAAGAAATTCTGTTCTCCTGTCCCTAATACAGTGGCTATAATCATGCAGATCTACTTCAATGATGCATATAGTATCAGTATTATGTAGCCACAGAATATAAAGAAAAAAAAAAAAAAAAAAAAAAAAAAAAAATGAAGTGTGTTAAACACAGAGATACAAGTAGCAGTAACAGTAGAACAGACAGATTTACCTAAATGCCATTTTGCCCTTTTCATTGGAGTGCCTTTACTTTTATCAGTACTATTTCCACCACTCATCATTCTTTGGCGGCCTGAAATTAAAATTATTAGTGTTAATTTAGAAATTTCAAAATATTTCAGATACTTTGTTAGAATTATCATAAATAAAAAGCCCTCTTACTAAATATCACTAAAATTAAATTATACAGATCAATATGACTGAATTCATATAAAATATGGATACATTTAATTCCTTGACTTTCCTATCTGGTTAATTCATTATTACACTTAAAACTACATAGTATGAATTTATATTTATGCAATCCAATTATATAAAACTACATTACATTAACAAAAAAATAAACAGTTAAAAAACTCATTATTTCTAAATAACAAAGTAAATTACAGTTTACAGAACATTACACAACTACATATGTAATTGTTGTTGAAAGTTTGAAAACATTAACATTTTCCCTTAATTATGAATTCTGTAATCATTCCCTTTGCATCTATCTATATAACTCAAATTGCAAAGAATAAATTGTCAAGTTCAAGAATAATATGGTTTATTAAATATCTTATAATTTTGCTAAAGAACTGTGAGTGTGGTGAGTGATAAATGTGATAATGCTTCAAACAGTGCAATTCAAAAGTTTCTGAATTCTAAAAAAAGTTCAAACCTTCATTTTACCTGATTTCTTTTTATTTTTTTAATAGGCTTATGATATTAACACATGAGATCACTAAATTTCAATGAAAGTGAACAAACTGAATGTCTACAGAAGTTGCCAAAAATGACCACAATATTCTTCAATATACAAATCCATTCAGTTTTACATTTCCCACAATTTTGTTCTAAATGCTATTGGGTTATTAGACAGAGTTGCTTATGATGTCATTAATAAGACATTTCAGCTCCTAATGTAACCAAATGCTTTTTCTTCTCCCTATGAGTGCTTCATAGAGGTCAAACACATTTACTTCAAACAGCAATATTTGCAAATTCTTACTGTTAAAGAAAATAATATTTACAGAGAATGCACGAATCTTGGTGTATTTCTGATAGAAAACATGTAATCTTCATATTTAATAAAACACGGAAGGTTGTTGGTGATTTTGCAATTGTATGTATGATATTGATCAATAGTACAAAATTTAATACTGATTATGAAAAATACACAAATTTTTCAAAAGAGAAATTTAAGTTAGAATACCTACTAAATTTAAAAATTGGATAATAATAATGTTAAAAAAATTTTTCAATTATGAATGGAATAAGTTGGAAGTAGGCTTCCAACTTAAAATTTCACAGTAATAATTTTTATACCCATATAAAATTATAAATAAGAATTATGATTTTATTATGTGTATGAAAAAAGTTCATTTATTTGAACTAATTATAAATTAATCATAACTCTTATTTAAACATGCTTGTTTTCATACACATAATAAAATCATAACTCTTTAAAGTTATAAATAAGAGTTATGATTTTATTATGTGTATGTATAGAAATTTATTTATTTATTTGAAGAATTCTTCAATAGAATAAATACGCAAGATCTTACGCTAATTTTATCTAGTGATTTTAAACAACATAATATGGATACTTCCAACAGTTTTTAGATAATTAACTAAAATTTTATTTTACAATACTTTTTATCAGCAAATACATCAATTATACCAACGAAAGTCTGGTAAATATGTATTTAATACTACTATGAAAATAAGATACTGAAAAGAGATATTTAATTAGATTAATTATCTTAATTACCTTGGCTTATAATGCATATCAGAAACATGTTATCAATTTTTATTCAAATGATCTTAAACTAATCAACACTAATTTAAGATCCGGTTTAAGCTTAATTTTTCTGTACCTAAATGGGATAATCCTATTTTCAGTAAGTGAAAATAAAATTGTCTAACTAATTTATAATAAAAGGGATACATACATATAATAAAAGGGATAATCTGAAAGGTTTTCAGATTTTAAATTACGTCCAAAGGAGCGTTTTTTTTTTTTTATTTTTTTTTTAATGTTTTGTGTGTCACCTTTATATATTAAATATCATGTTCTTCACACTTAAACCATAAATTTCAGTTCAATAGCAATGTCACAAAATAATTTTAAAATGAGCCTATCTTTAGAATTTCCGATACACAGTTCTGTGTGCTGGAGATAAAAGTCCCATCTTGAACTATTTACAATGTTTTTTATAGAATTCCATTTTTCGTTATTTTGTAAACCTAAAATGGATTCAGTGATTTGTCTTTGAATCATTATTTGCTTGTTTAATTACTTATTTACTGTAATTATTTAATGCACTATTGTTTTGCCTTTTTGGATTTCATTTTCATTCACCAAGGTGAAGGAGGAAGTTTATTTCATAAGAAATATTTAATACATAATTCCGTGGTTTTAATTCTGCCCAACTCAATTTTTCTATATTATTCTTTCTTGCTTTGATTTTTAGTGAATAACTGAATAATATTAATACAGATTTATTACTGGCATTTCTTATATATTTGTTTTACATATATCATTTAAGAAGAAAAGAAATATAAATGATTAAAAAATATGTAGAAAATGAATAACTAAAGTTTTCTTACTTCCCATTCGTTCAGGGTGTGTTCTTCCAGGGCTCTAAGAATTTAAAAAAAAAATTATTTAAAATAATACTATATATATATATATATATTAATTAGAAGAACTACTTGAACTAACTACTTATTATTACAAGCTTCTTTACCAATAGGTGTGAATGAACACATTGTTGATATTTATTTATTACCTTGAAAGGAGTTCTAAAAGGAAGGAAAAATTGAAACAATTCTAACAGCTGTACTGAAATAAGAAAATTCTGCAACAAGTTTGCATATGCTTGCTATCATTAAATAATTTTTTATTTACAATCCTTGACCAATGGAACCCACTTGCAATTTTTTAAAGAGGTTATTGCAGCCATCCGGACAGTACAGTGGTTAGGAGAGCCTACTGCGGTACCAAAGAGCCTCGGTTCGAATCCCGGACGTTTGTAAATGTATAGTGTCTTCGCGGCATGTGGGTAAACTAAATATATGGTGAGCCAAGGTGATTTTCATCAAAACTGGGGGCGTAACTGAGTGAAGTCATACTGTCATGTGTATGGTGCTCAAAGCTCTTGCCAACGGCAAATGCAATCTTGCTCTCCTTGCCACGATGAAATTTGTGGACTTGTTCTGATGTTACTGTCAGACAAGCGGGATAAGTCATAACACACAAGAACTACTTGAAACAACATGCACTTAAAATGGTACATCCATACTAAATTACAGCAACAGCATACTTTTTATACTAAAGTCTCAGTTATCCACTTTTTGATTTTCCCTACACTTGCTTTTCTCATAAAATTTATCATAATCCTTTGAGACTGCTACTCGAAGATGATGAAAAATTTGTGTGTTTCTAAAAGAACTTTCCCATTTTTGATCAAATAAACCAATCTAATGCTTGGAGTCAAGAGTTTAAGAACTGATTTCAGATACTATAAAGAAGGAAGATCATGCAGATGAAGTAATAGAAATGGTCAAATCTTACCAATCAGATAAATTTTTATTTCCAATTCCAATTTTTATTTCCAATTTATCAGTATATCAGGTAGAATATGTAAGTGAAAAGCATACTTAGATATTGGTGCAACCACTGTGGTGCAGTTTGGTGATTTTTTTAAAGAAGGAAAAGAACAGCGACTTATAATTGAAAAAAAAAAATATATATATATATATATATATATATATTTATTATACACATGCCTATTAGTACATACTTATTTTACATTTAATTAGATATTTTTCCCAAAATCAATAAAGAAATCTGTTTACAAGCAGATTTTCGTTTCAGTTAATCTGCTGGAAATTTTGTGGTGATGTCTTAAAACAGATTCAAACAACTGTAGAAATTTTATATATTTTGTTTCCCTACAGGCAAATCTCACAAATGCTTACGATAAAGTTCAGTTTAAACAACTTACCTGTTTTGCTTCCGGACCTTTAACTGCTTTACTCGTACAGCATATAAGCAATATTGTTTCTCTGTTTTGCCTGTATCTTTCTTATTTTTAATATCAAATTAGTCATATAGATGGCAGCAGATGTCCACTCAGGGATAACGTTTATTTTTTTCTATACAGATTAGATCATAAGTGGGAGCTTGTTTCATGCTATTTGCATGAATCGGTAAATTTTTATTTTTCAGTTCTTAACTTTTTGCAAGTATTTTACTGTTTTTAATGGTCGTGTGGTCTTAATGCATGATATAATTAAAGAAAATAAGAGTAGACAATCTCCTATAACAAAAGAATATATTAAGTACTAAATTACAATTTAAATTACATTGCAGAGATCAACGCGGAGCTCGGAACACAGTTCATGGTACCGCCGCGTACAGTTGTCTCACGAGAAGTCTGAGTGAGTAATGACGTCGCTTTGCTGCTCCGATTAAGAACTGGATTTTACACGTGGCACCATCTCATGAATAGAAGTTGAAGTATCTGTCGGAACGCCACAGTACTCCCCCCCCAAGTACCATCGGTACGTTATAAGTACTTTGGGTTAAATTTAACCTTTCTTCCAGATCTGGTAGTTTTAGGTTGCTCTTTAACGGGATGTAAGCTTTCTTCCGGGAGTGAGTGATGTTGATGAGGAAGTTGTTGGATCTTGCATTAGAAATGCTGGTTTGAGACGATCGATTCCAATCACTGATTGTTTGCCATTGCAGATGATGGTGTGAAATGTTTCGGTGTTCGTTTGACAACTTTGAATGGACCATCATATGAAGGTGTTAAAGTTGGCTTAATTGCATCGTTGCGCACGAATACGTGCGAAGATGTCTCAAGCGCAGGATGTACAAAATAGCTTGGCTGGTTATGCGAAGATGCTGGGGTTGGCGAGATATTGCTCATGGTCTCACGTAAACGTTGAAGGAATGTTGGAGGGTCGATAACTGGAGTAGATTCTGGGTGAAAGAATTCACCTGGCAGACGGAGGGTTGCACCATATAACATTTCAGCACAAGTGCTACCAATGTCTTCTTTGAATGCTGTGCGAAGACCAAGCAAGACTAGGGGTAAGGCTTCTGTCCAGTGTGTGCTACTGTGGCACTTCAGACCTTGTTTGAGAGATCGGTGAAAGCGTTCCACCATCCCATTTCCAGATGGATGGTATGGTGTTGTGCGAATATGGCGAATGCCAAGAAGAGAGGTGAGGGATGCGAACAAGTGACATTGAAATTGTCGGCCTTGGTCAGTAGTGATGGTGGTAGGCATGCCAAATCTTGAAAGCCACTGGGAGATGAATGCTCGAGCTGAGCTACAGTTTCAGCGGATATATTTTCAATAGGAATGGCTTCAGGCCATCTTGTGTACCGATCAATACAAGTGAGGAGGTAAGTGTAACCATTTGAAGGAGGCAATGGGCCAACCAAGTCTAAGTGCACATGATCAAAGCGTCTTGCTGGAAGGTTAAATTGTTGAATGGGGCTGTGAGTGTGACGGGATACTTTACACCGTTGACATCTAATACATGAACGAGTCCATTCTGTGATGTCTTGATTCATTGCTGGCCAGACAAATCTGTCTGCGATCAGCTTTTTGGTGGCACGGATTCCAGGATGTGCCAAATTGTGCAAGGCATTAAACACTTCACGTCTAAAATTGACAGGAATATAGGGACGTATTCTATTGTTCTCTATGTCACAGTAAATTTTAAGCGTTGGATCAATGTGCAGCGGTTGTAACTGAAGGGAGGTTTGTGGATTTGAGATTAGGTTCTTGAGTTCCTCATCATGCAATTGAGCTTTTGCAATTTCAGAGAAATCTGGGGTAGTGAGGTTGATATTGTTTACCCGAGACAAGGCATCAGCGAACACAATTATCAGTACCAGAGACATATCTGATATCTGTACTAAACTGGGCGATGAAAATCCAGATGTCGAAGCTGACGAGGAGAACATGAGTCAGAGTTTTTTCTAAAAGCGAAGGTTAATGGTCGATGATCGGTGAGTGAAATGAAATGATGAAGTCGTGTCCTTCCAAGTTGTGCCGGAAGTATTTAACAGCACAGTACACAGCAAGTAGCTCCCTGTCATATGTGCTGTATTTCCTTTCTGCAGTAGTAAGTTTTCTGGAGAAGAATGCCATTGGGGAAAGTCCTTTAGTGGTATGGGCTTGAAGCACTGCTCCTATGGCCGTGTCAGATGCATCTACCATTATAGAGAGCTGATCACTAGGTGAGTGATAAGAAAGTGTGGCTGCATTTGCCAGATCGTGTTTGCATTGCACGAATGCTGCAGATGCAGATTCAGTCCAAGGGACAGCTCGTTGATCGTTTTTTTTTTTTTGCTATTCTTCAGAAACTCATGTAGGCAGGCTTGTGTTTTTGCGGCATTTGGCAGAAAGCGTCGGTAGAAATTTAAATTTAACATTGCTAGAAAACGCTTCAGTTCAGAGATGGTTTTTGGGCTGAGGTAGGTCGTTAATTGCTTTGACTCTTTCCGGTAAAGGTTTGACTCCATTCTGGGTGATAAGACATCCAAGAAAGGAAACTGAGGGTTGACCAAGTACACATTTGGATGGATTTAGTTTTAATCCATGATCTTTAAGGCGAGTGAGGCGAGTGAAAATCTGACGCAGATGTTGAAAATGTTCTTCCGCATCTGTAGATGCAACCAGGATATCATCAAAATATGGGATGCAGAAATCGAGGCCAGACAGTACTTGGTGTATGAAACGCTGAAATGTTTGGCCAGCATTGCGAAGGCCAAATGGCATATATAAGTACTCAAAGAGACCAAATGGTGTAGTCACTGCGGTCTTGGGCACATCTTCAGCATGCACTGGGATCTGATGATATGCTCTGGCAAGATCGAGGGTAGAAAATATGTTTGTTCCATGAAAAAGATGGGTACAGTCTTGGATATGTGGGACTGGATATCTGTCAGGGACTGTGACGGCATTAAGTCGACGATAATCTCCACAAGGCCGCCAGTCACCATTAGACTTTTTAACCATGTGAAGTGGACTGGCCCATGGACTTTTAGATGGGCGAATGGTTCCCTGTGCTAGCATGAATTCAAATTCTTTGCGAGCAGCTTTTAGCATCTCTGGAGAAAGACGACGAGGCTTGGAAAATACAGGTGGGCCATGTGTTTCAATGTGATGATACACTTCTGGCTGATGAGTATGCTGCCCTGATTTGGGTGGGTTTAAAATGTCAGGGAATTCTGCTAATAACCGATGAAACCGTGTGCTGCCCGATACAACACTTATGTTGGTAGGTACGTTCGATATGTGAGAAGCTTGGCCCTGTGATGTCAGCTGAGTTGTAGCATCAATTAAGCAATTATTCTTGACATCCACACTAGAAGGTGGAAATGTGTCAAGAAGTCGACACCAATAATTGCTTGAGTTACATCCGCAATAATAAAAGGCCAGTTGAAAGTCCGGCGCAAGTTTAAATCAAGTGTCAATAGTTTGGTGCCGTAGGTTGCAATTTGGGTACCATTGGCTGCATACAGTACAAGTTTATTAAGTTGGTGAGCATTTGTTTTAGTTCTCGGGAGCACTGATATGTCAGCTCCAGTATCTACTAGAAAACATAACTGAGTTG